CTTCCAACACACCTGGTGTCAGTGATAGCCAGGCTGAGCATGTCACCACCTACATGGGCTCCGGCAGGACAGAGGAGTGGAAAACTCCTCCATTCCGGGGTTTTCCCAACCCCTTTCTTGGTACTGAATTCACCATTGGGTGGAGGATATGAGGTGGGTCCCCACTGCGGAACAAGGACAAGACGACAGAGTCCCAGAGAAGTGTCTCGACAGGACCCAGGGATTAGTAGAGTTGTCCATGGACATGTGAGTGACTCTGCTGCCGCGCATGGACCTGAGCGGAGAGACTCCCAGCAGGACCCCATGGTGTGGAGGAGGAGACTGGAGATGGAGACTTTCGACTTGTGAGTCCCAGCTATAGACTTAACAGTTGTTAGGTTTGCGTGATTAGAGACAAAGCTCAGGTGTGATTCTCTCACGACGTGAAGCATGACTAGGAAGAGGATTTACTATCTGTCACTACTGAGAATATTTTCAGAGATAACAAACCTAAGATATAGCAAGAAGGACAGAATGAGTTCGAGCAAGCAATTTGTTACTCAAGGCAGCCCAGGGAGTTTAGAAAGTCTCTGCAGGTGTCCTGATAGCACCTACTTGTTTCCCTGGTCCTCTTGAAAGTCAGATGGGTCCTGTGGTTATTCCTTATGTAGAAGCCATAGAGACCCAACACAGTTGTTTTTATTTCAAGGTTTATGACTTGTGTTCTTGTAGAGAATGGAAAGGAAGTTTACTCGCAGGCCAGGTCGTGACTCATAAGGTCCACTCTACTTTACAGTAAGGGAAAAAGATCAAACAGCTATTTCCACTTGATAGCTGATGACTGGTCTGTTTTCTACCCAGAAGACAAGAGGAAAATGAATATTCCTGTACCCATAAAATTCTGGGTCCTCCCAACATTTAGACCTAATGCAGAGAGGCTTAAACATAGATTTTGAGGGAAAAGAGAGAAGGTATAGAGTCAGTGAAAGAAAAGGAGCAGAATAAAAACGAGTATACAAGGGAAAGCGCTTCATTACCTAGGAAATAGAGTGAAGAATTAAAGGTATTGATTCACAGAACTAACTCAGTGATCAGGAAATCTGTTCCTTTGCACTCTGGTCTCTAGACTGACCTATAGGTAAACCAGCCCAGAGAAACTGATGTCTCTTATTCTTGATGTCTTTAAAGCTTATCCAGATGAGAAAATCTAGTGTCTCCCAACATGGAGAACGCAAGATTACTTGTTCCCAAACGTACAACTTTAATATTTCTTGTAGAAACTTGTAAGCCTTCCATAGAAGTAAGGAAGTAAGGAAGAAAAGGAAGGAGAAAAAAAAGGTTGTAGAAACTCTCCTTTTAGAATTTATTCAGTTAAATATATTTGTGGGAGGGAGGGACTAAGAATGGAATAGATGTTTTAATGGTGAATTGGCATATTTCTTGGTTTTATTTGTGAAATAACAGCCCCCTTTCTCCTTCAGATAGATTGCATCCTTAGACCATAGAAACGCCAAAATGCTCACATGCTACTCTACTCTGGGTAAATTTTGTTCTCACGATCTTCGAACAGCAAAAAGATGAAAGAAGGCCATGAATTAGGAAGAGAGTTCCTCTCTATGAAGGAAGTGAGAGCGTGTTTCAGGTTGTTCTGTAGAATGGAGGGCAGTCACCCTAGCTTTAGGTGGGGTTTGCGCTGTCCACAGGGCAGTGTGGACCATCCTTAGGATTTCCCACAGTCCTTTGCAATGGTGGTGATGTGTGACTTGAATGTGGATAAGTTGCAGAAGGTCTTATGGGCCCCATCATGGAAACTCCATTTCTGCTTTCTCTCCTCCCACGTTTGTTTTCACTCTCAGTTCAAATTCACAAACACAGCTTGAGGTGTAGGTACAACACAGGCAGAGACATGTCCGGGGAGGAGGCCCCAAAGGCTAAAGAAAAACTGGGGGCTGGGTCTTTCTTGGAAACCAAGAGTGTCAGGAGGAAGGTTGGGCGATATTAAAGAAGAAAGCGTCCACCTGGGACTCGGAACATGTGAGTTTGAGTTCCATCGATAACCAGTAATATTCTGCGTGATTCCAGACACGCGCTCTCTCCCGCTCACCCTCAGTTTATTCAACCACAAAAAGAGTAACCAGGATTAAATGATCTTGCTGATCCTCTTGGATATTAATTAAGAATAAAGTGCCTATTAATTGCTTCTTTTTCATCCCTAAGCAGCTTTCCTCTTTCACTAACTGGGTTTTACACAGATTCTATATCCTGCAATTCATTTTCTCCCTTCTTCCATTATTTCTGATAATGTTCCATCTTTAGTGAATAGTTTAGACCGAGGGAAGATTAATCATAATTATAATGATAATTGCTATCATTTATTAAGTACCTCCTTCATGTATCAGAGACTTAATATACATTAACTGCTCTTTAACCCCTCAAAACACAAGTTTAGTACTTTATCTGTTTCACTGATCAAAAAAAAATTAGGTTTAGAGTGACAAGTAATTTTACTGAGGACATACATGCAGTAAGCGGACAGAACTTTGAGTCCAAACAAGACTTAATCTGATTCCTCAGCCTGTGCTCTCTCTATGTTTTACTGTAAAAAATAGTGAGCTATCTCTTAGCAGGGCTGATATTTGGCCGGTACAGACAACAGTCTGTACTACTTCACAATAGTTGTTAAAATGCATTTGTGCCAATTTGTAATAGCTTTCAGAGCCCTCAGAGGTAACTGGAGCATGCCTTCAAAAGTTGGACAGTCTTGTTTTGGTAGAGAGGAAGGTAGATGAAACTGTAAAAACTAAAACAAAACAGCAAAAATATTCAAAATGAGCTGGAAGTCAGGAGCAACGCCTGGCTGAATCATTCTTATTTGGATTTCTTTTTGGCCTTATTCCTGAATCAGAAAAGCTGAAAGTCTAGGAACCCCGTAAGTCTGTGTTAATTTGCAAGAGATTTCCTAAGCAGGAAGTGACTCCGGAGGCCACAGCATCACTTCCTAATTCATATGGGAAATGAATTTTGTAGAAAAGAATTTTGTCCACCAGTATTATTCCTACGTATATTTCAAATTCAACTCTAATAAATTTATAAACACTGCTATTGGAGGAAACTTTATAAAACGTTGGGTCCCACCAGTTTGTTTCCTAGAGGATCAAACAGATGCTCAAACAGAAAACCTAATCGACTTGCCAGAAATCTATTAATTACATTAAAAAGTTGCAAGAATGCCCAGTTCCCCTGACTCCCGCTTCCTAGGTATGCTCCTTTCACTGCATCAAATTCCACTTTTCATATAGGTAAACGTTTTTGTGTGACTTACTCGGAGGGAATAATTCCTTGTCCCTCTCGCTAAAACAAGGGGCGCCCCGCCTTCAAAGTTACCGTCTTGACATCTGTCTGCACTCACCCTTGAATTTTTTGCACCATTCCCCCTGCTGATGTGCTCATCTGATAATCATTTGCCACAAACGATTCCACAAATATTAACCAGTTTCTCATCCCTCCCTACCAGGGTTTCCTCTTATTACCATTGGCCAGATTCTTCTATTTCTTTTCTCCCTACCTCGTAATATTGTTGTCCTTATAGTATTTCCATGTTGCTCACTGTGAACAGGTCTAGAACCCGACTGAGACAGAGACCATGAAAAAACAACGTATTCAGTTCTCCAGTTTGCCACAGTTGTCACGATTCGCTTAGACAGATCTTGTATCTTTTATTTCAGATATGCCACTGTTTTTTATGTGAAAAATTATTCCATTATTTTTAATGTGAAAAAATTATTTCAATTATTTCCGTTCCATACCCAAATTGCTGAGACTAGAAGCATCCCAAGAGATAGATATTCTCTGTTAACCCTTAATATGTAGAGCAGGAAATGAAGCAAAGAGAAACCAAAAACTAACCCAGAAGGGCTGTCGTTGGAGTAACATCCTGCTTGTGAGATCCTAGAAAAGCGTTTTCTTTTTTTTTTTTTAAGATTTATTTATTAATTTATACAAGCACTGGGTACAGTCAGAAGCGCGGGAGGGGGAGAGAATTCACCAGAGCCAGAGCGGGGAGCAGAGCAGGCAGAGGGACCGAAGTACACCGCTGAGGGGAGCAACGGGCGGCAGGAGAGGTCTGCGCGCCATGTGGGACCCTCACGGGCAGCTGGGGATCGAACTGGCGCTGCAGAGACTGCGGGAAGCTTCGCAGCCCAGCGCTCACCCGCTGTGCCACCAGGGGAGGCCCTAGAAAAGCGTTTTCTATTTAAACTTTGGTATCTAAAAGAAGATAAAATAAAGTGAATTTCATAAATTGTGAAGCTGTTATTTTAATTATAATGGAAGAGTTTGAAAGACAAAATCCTTCAGGATCTAGGAAAGATGGTTTCTAAGAGAGCATTTCAGCTATTGTGGGAAGTAGAGCTCTTTTAAGATCTGTCTCAGTGCCCCTTAAATCATATGGTGTTGGACCATCTGGTATTTTTCTTTTTCTTTCTGGCTTATTTCGCTGAGCATGATCCCTTCCAGCGCCATCCATGTTGCTGCAAATTGCATGAGTTTATCTTTTTTGATTGCTGAGTAATATTCCATGGTGTATATGGACCATATCTTCTTGAGAGCCACACTAGGGGGGAGAGAGGAGGAGAGGGGTTGGAGTCAGAATAAAGGGGGTGGGAATTGTATGGGGAATATAACCAAAATGAAAATGCATACATTGTGCAAAAATGAAAAAGATGTAAGAATTATACAGAATAAAATAATTTTTTAAAAAATTCATATGGCGTTGGAAGTTCCCATACTTGCTGATTTGAAAGTCCTGCCTTGATGCTCAGATTTTGTTTTTGGGAGACCGCAGATGGCCGCGACCTCTCCTTCCTCCTCAGTGGCCAGGGGCGCCTCTTGAGTCTGAGCTGGGAGGAGGTGGGGGGTCGCTGGGCGGGCTGGTTTCTGAATGGACGGTGAGACCCTGTCGCTGCTTCATCCCTCAGGAGAGCACTTCCTCGGGGCGAGACCTTGAGGCCTGAGTCAGGGCCATGGAGGGCTCGGTGCTGAGCCCCACGTCCAGGGAGCGGCGGCGGGCCTGGCTGCGGCAGAGCCGCCACTGGCACACCCAGGTCCTGGAGGAAGAGGCCGCAGCCGCCCTGCAGGATGTCCCGGACCCCGAGCCTTCTAACCTGGACGACGTGTTCCACGAAGGTAAGAGGGGGATGTCCACGTTGCCGTGGGGCAGGGAAATGTGGCGGGACTCTCAGGTCTGTGGACTCTGGGTCTGTGGAGGGACAGGGACTGCTTGTCCCAGGGAGGCGTCAGGGAAGCAGTTGTAACAGATTTAAATAAATTTAAAGGAAGAAGAGTAAAGTAATTACAGGAATTATGTGAGACAGGGATTATGGGGGGAAAAAAGAGGCAGATTTTTTACTTCCTGAATAGCTGTCAGGAAAACCCCAAGGCCAGGTCTCTCTGTGAACCCTGAGGGGTGTTTCTGTTGTGTCTGTGTAACAAGGGCACGCTCGCTCTGGATGCCTGAGCTCTGGCTGCAGCTCTGACACTAGCAAACCATGTGACTTTTGGCAAGCTGCTCGCCTCCTTAAGACTTACCTGCCTAATCAAAGCAGCACCAGCCACCTCTCTACAGACACCCACCCACACACTCACCTTGCTTATTTAGTAGGAAACAGAAGTGTGGGTCCCCCCACCTTTTTGTAAGGAGAAGCAACCTTATCTGTTCCCAAACTTCATGGGAAAGAGAGTACTGAGCCCACACCCTGGGCATCTTCCAGCTCCTGTGGGAAGGGGGCGGTGAGGCAGAGAGAGAAATAGTTGCTGCTTTTATGTCTGGGTGTTTTGCCCTCATCCCTGAAAGAAAACTTTTATGGGGCCAAAATGGATTCACCATGGGGCCTCTGTAGGATAACTTGTGGGGCTGGGTGGGTTGCAAGTGTGTTTGCTTCGGGTCTCCAGTGACGTGACGTCTGACTTTTCTAGGGAATCCAATCAGTAAGATTGAAGACTGGCTGCAGGACTGTGGGTGAGTGCGAGAGGCGACGGGCTGAGCGCGGGTAACGCTGGTTGTGCTAACAGACTGCCTCTGGGGAGCTCAGACACTGGGAGATGGGCTTTGAATTGGATTGAATGATTGAAGAGAGGTTGAAATGGGGGGGTGGGGTGGCGGGGTCATTGTAATGGTTTGGGGTGAGTTTGGGGACTTGGGGCTGTGAAAAGTGCTACTTTGGGCGGAGAGTAAGTTTAGGGGGACGTCTGCTGCTGCAGACTGGATCTTGTCTACCCTCAAGAAGGGTGGAAATCTGCAGCTGTGGGTAGGGGCTGAATTGAAGTCCAAATCCCCTTCAGACTGGAGTCTTGCACTGCGGAATAAAAGAAGAGGAGCTAGAAATTTAATTGTTCTTGTGATCAGAGTAAGACTATGTTATGTCTGTGAATGCAAGCAGATACTTCAAGGCAAAATTCAGTGTCTCTCTTTGGAGAAACCCCACACCCCATCAGTTGGTATCACTTCAGGCTTAGTCTATCCAGACACAAAGGGAAAGTTTCTGTGACCTATTTAAGTCTGATCACTTGTGTGATAACGAATTCTCAGAACTTAGAGCTCGTGCCTGTTCCTCCCTTCCCCTCCGTGAACATTTCAAACTTTACGTGCATAGTCTTCGACCTAAACTCACCTACTAACTGCTATAAGCAAGGCTGCAGGGAATTCAGTCCAGTCCTCTTCCAGGACCTCATTTTAACAACTCTGCTCTGCTCTGCTCAGCCGCCATTGGAGATCACATCCAAAGCATCACAGGCAACTTGCACTTTATTTTGTTGTTGTTGTTGTTGTTGTTATTTTTATTTTTTTATTTTATTTATTTTTTAAATAAATTTTATTTTTATATTCCCCATACAATTGCAATCCCCTTATTTTGACCCCAATCCCTCCCCTCCCCACCCCCATGCCCCATAGAGTGTCTCTTGTTCAAAGTTGTTTGTTGATTTTGATATTTTCTTTCTTATAGTTATTCATTTTCCTGGTCCCTTATTTAAGTTTTCTAGATTCCTGCTGTGAGTGAGACCATCCGGTATTTTTCTTTTTCTTTTTGGCTTATTTCGCTGAGCATGATCCCTTCCAGCGCCATCCATGTTGCTGCAAATTGCATGTGTTTATCTATTTTGAATGCTGAGTAATATTCCCTGGTGTATATGTACTGCATCTTCTTGATCCAGTCATCTATTTTGGGGCATTTGGGTTGTTTCCAAAGCTTACCTATTGTAAACAGTGCTGCTATAAACATAGAACTAGACATAAGACCTGAAATCATAAAATACATAGAAGGAAATATAGGCGAAACACTATGTGATATGCACATCAAAGGCATCTTTACAGACACATCACCCAAAGCAGTGATAGTGAAGGCAAAGATAAACAGCTGGGACTACACAGCAAAAGAGACAATAACAAAAACAAAGAGAAACCCCACTGACTGGGAGAACATTTTTGCACACAACTTGCACTTTAAAACTTCCAGGGGAACAAACTCTATAAAACTCACAACACATCAGCGCTTAAAGTGGATTAGAAAACACAGACATGTAGGCCTCCAGATCCCCATAGGTGGGATCTGAGACACCACAGCACCAAGGAGCAGGAGTGGTATCCAGGTACTCTGGGCCCAGCTGAGAGTTTCTCCCCAGGTTACTTCACTCACCTAGTTTACATAGAGAATTTCTTCCTTGTTTTAAAACTAAGTTGTTTCTCATGGTCATTGATGCTGATTTCTTGTCTGTTCTTCCTTTGCACAGATGGCAATGGTTTGATAACAGTGTATCTCAAAATGTAAAAATACAATCTTTAACCAAGATGCAATTTCTGGTGCTCCTAAAAGATATGATATTCTGCAAGAACAAAGCTCAGAGAAAAGGAAGGGGTTTGGGGAGATAAGCTGACTTCCTAAAAGTTTCGCGAAAAATCTCAATGTTTGTATTTATGATGTCAAAAGTAGGGCAAGCATCTGCTTTTATAAATGAATGTCTCTGGTTTTGCTTCTACATGGTCTTTATTATTTTACGCAGTGACTGAAGAGTCATAGCTAAGCTGACTTTAGACAATCTAGTTGGTCGATGAAAGCGCAATCTAGAACAGGGCGCACACCTCTCCCAACTCAGTGGTCTCTCTAAATGTGTCCACTAAGTATTGTTAAATAAACTTTGTCTTAGTTTTCTTCAACATAAAACAATTTAAATACTAATGACTCATGAAAAAATGTGAAGTTGTGGGAGATACTTAAGGAAAAGCCTCTTGCAATGTAGTGATTTCAACCCTTTATGTGATTTTGGGTTTTAGAAATTCTGAAGAAGGGTTTTTTGAGGACACAGGACAGTCGATCTACAATGGTGAGTAGAGGCTCTGTCTTTTCTTCTGTTGTTCTTGTACCTGCACAATGATATGACTTTGTGTGTGAGAGAGAGAGAGACCATATGGACACACGCGTGCATGAGAGTGCTGTCTTAACTGTCTGCATAACACCTACTTGTGGGCACCAGGCAGCCTAGGGGGTTCAGGAGAGAGTCAGCCCTGGCTCAGCGGCCAGGTTGACTGTAATCTTCTGTTAGTGGTTGCTCAGGTTAGTAGTTACTACTATGAGAAAAGAGCTTTATAATGATATGGGTTTGTGTGAGTGCACACCCCATATACTTAACTTTGGCAGAGGATTGTATCCATGCCTATGTGATACAGGGGACACGTTAGCTATGGAGGATTAATTACATGGGATTATTTCTGAATCAGAACATGAGTGTGATTCCCAAGACTGGGGAGAGTTTTGCAGGCACATGAGTATCTGATATGATTGTGTGGCTGTACAAGGTTAAGGACATGTCGATGCCCGTGTATGTATGTGTGTGTGTGTGTGTTTATGCCCATGCTCAAATTTCCATGACCTTTGCCTTATTATTTGACAGGGTGCCCCAGCCATGGGACCAGCTTTGAAGATGACTTGACCCTCGGAGCAGAGGGTGAGTGGCACAGCTCTCTGAGGAAGGGGTTGAGGGAAAGAATAGTCTCATTGTGATCTAATGTGTCACATGCCCATAAATACTTCCATTTATCATATGTCCATTTTTGGAGTTTTCATTTGGGCCATAGGAAAATAACATGTAAAGTCACCATATTTGCTGCCCAAATTAAAACTGTTTCTGTATAGGAAACCGAAGTAACCTGAGGCCACAGAAAGAGATTGCACTGCAGGAAGTTAAGGATTTGAGTAAAGGAGGGACATATTGCAACCTCCCAGTATCTCATGTACAGGATCACGTGGCAGGATGGGACTAGCAGCTTGTAAGACCAAATAACTCTGTTCCCAGGACAGAGCAGCTCTTGTCTGGATACTGGCAATAGGTCAGAGTTCAGAGGCTTAGGGCCAGTTGCTATCCACCATATCTGTTCCCCTCCCAAGCCTGTGTTTGATAGAGGTACTCCCATAAAGAGCAGAGTTCATGGGGTTCAGCTAGGCTGTAGTTGAGGCAGAGGAGATCAGAAAAGGCAGAGCTTTGAGGGGACAGCTTAGAAAACTTTTCATTTTCCCTTCTAACTTTCATCTTTGTCTTTCTGTTTCCTGTCCAGCCACATTGTTGGCCGCCAATGGCAAACTCTTCTCCAGGTAAGCATTCAGTTCAGCCAGGCAGAATGATGTCCCCTTCAAAAATTACTGACTCGGGATAGGTATCAGCATCAAAGAGATTGAAATGAAAGAGCTAAAAATTCGCAATGGAGGATGGGAGGAGATTCCCCAACCAGAAATAAGGCCATAGACTGAGTTTTCACAGCAGATGGTGCAAAGGGGCCCAAGCAGGGCATGACCATGCCCAGCAGGGCCTGTGTTGGAGTCAGAGTACTGACTGCTTGTGAGGTGAGTGTGGCATCTCTGATCCCTGCAGGAACTTCCTGGAGACAGCCCGGCCTTTCCAGCTGCTGGACCTTGGCTGCAGCTTAGCTTCCAGCAGCATGACTGGTGGGACCAACAAGACGAGCTCAAGGTAGGTACCAACTTGGCAGGAGTAAGAACAGTGGAGGAGACAAGAGGCAAAGAAGAATAAAACTGAAAATCACTGACTTTTTTTTCTGGAATATCTTACTGAAGCTTTTATACAGTCATATACTTGAGAAGAATGACTGCATTTACTTCAAGAATCACAGAGCATACAGAAGAATCTAGAACTCAGAGCTGGGTGCTGTGTGAAAAATATAGTGTCTCTTTCTGCTGACTTTCTGTCCCAAGAGGTGTACTATTGATAGTTCCTGGACCATGATATTTCCTGGACTTACAGTAGGTTCTCAGTGAGCAATGAGTTAATTGATTCATTGATAGAATAAAGCAAGGGGATATTAATTCATTCAGGCAATTTTGTATCACCTATTGCAGGCCAGACCTTGATTGTATGGAATTTGAAAAGCTGAACTAGACAAAAAACTTGATCCCAGGGGCTCAACAATCCTATAATGTAGACAAAATATATATGAAATAGCTTGAAAACAAAATGAAAACTAGTATAAAACTGGTATAATAAAAAAAAATCTGAAACTTGGAGCCAAAGTTGAATTTGAGACTTGGTTCTGGGATTTATTATCCATGTAACTCTTTAGTGACTTGGCCTGCCTGAACCTCAGCTTGGGCTACACCCCCTTTCAATTTAATCAGAATTTCAGGCAAGGATAAATACTCAGATATATGCATTTTTTTAAAGATTTATTTATTTATTTATACAAGAACTGGGGTACAGGCCAGATGCACGGGAGGGTGAGAGGATTCCTCAGAGACAGAGCGGGGAACAGAACAGGCAGACTGATGAAATACACTGCGGAGGGGAGCAGCTGAGGAGACAGGAGAGGTCTGCTGCGCCATGTGGGACCCTCTCCAGGCCAGCCAGGATTGAACCGGCGCTGTAGAGGCTGTGGACAGCTTCACAGCACTGAGCTCAACCGCCCACGCCACCAAGGGAGGCCCTCGGATATATGCATTTTTTAAAAGCTCCCATGGTGACTCTAATGTGTTTGTCACTATGATTAGAAAACAGTAATCCAGTCTTACGCTCACAGTTCAGACAAGGAGACGTAGGACCCTGAAGAGAAAAATAAGCACACGGTATCGAGCACCGGAGTAGAGCTGGCAACTTTGGTTATCCAGCCATCAATGAGACAAGATGATCTCTCTTTGGGTCAAAGCCCCTTAGCATCTTTTCTGATAGTATTCAAGCTTCAAATAATCCAACACTAATCTCTCTTACTCATTGTTTGGGGTGCAGAGCGATGGAGCTCTAATGTCACACCGCTTGATGGTTTACCAAACCTGATGTGGAGAAAATGCAGGGGCTACCTAAGGGCTGAGGAGTGCTCAGTCTTCTGTAGTGCAGTGTTTCTGTGCTAAATACAGTACAAAGGAATACACCTCTCAACATCAGGCTTTGAACATACTCATACTGATACATTTTTACTCTTCGAATGAGAATAAAATCAGTTTTGTGTTCTTTAGACACATTTTCTGTTGTCTGGGCCAAGCTGGGTGCCAAATTGTAAAGCACTTGATAGCTGGATAATCAAGGTCAGACATACCACGGTCCATGCCAAAAGGAGCTGACTGTCTACTAAGATGACTGCAAGATTTCTTAGCATCCATACCGGTTTTGATTTTTCCACGCCTCGTGTAGCAAATTTTCACTCATCTATAATCAATAATTCAAAGTATTATGATAGAATCTCATTCAATTTTTAAACCAGGGCTAGATTGTAATTCTCATATTTCAGAAAGAGAGTTTAGGTTCAGAGAAGTAAAAGTTTTGCTCAAATTCACAGCAGAAGGTAGAAAACAATCTCGGAAACCTGGCCAGAGAATCATCAGTCTCCTGACACATTTACTAGACACTGTGGGTTACCCTGTTCCTCAAAATTGCTGTCATTTACCCAAACTCCCTCCTTTCAGCATCTCAGAGATTCTGGACAAGGTGCAAGAAGATGCGGAAGATGTCCTCTTCAGTCTGGGTTTTGGCCAGGAGGACCACAGGGACACTTCTCGAATTCCTGCCCGATTTTTTACCACCCCCTCCCAGGCCAAAGGCATTGATTTTCAACTCTTCCTGAAGGCCCAGGTGCAGAGGATTGAAATGGAGGACCCTTGTCTCATGCTGGCCAGTGAGTTTCACCACAGACCCATGCTCTGCTTCTCCTCCAGTGTCTAGGGATTCTCTACAGAGGTCAAACCCTCCTTTCTCTTGGTCACCTTCTCTAAACTCTTTGTCTTGTCTATTTCCTCTTATGTTGTCTTCAGTGAAGATGGAGAACTTTGAAATCTACTTCTGTCTCGTGAAGAGACAGTCTTCAGGAGGTCCCATGTCGCTTTTGCTTTCTTGAGGATTCTCCTTTAGCTGAACCACGTCAGAACCATGTCTTTAAATCTTACTGCAATTTTCTCTTTCTCAGTTGGAATTATTCAATATTCTCCATTTATAGACACTGCATAAAATTACTTCCATTTAGGGCAGCGGTTCTCAAAATTAAATTTGTTAATTGTCCAGGGAGTGTCTAAGGAATATTTATAATGACTATTCCTATTCATAGGTTTTTCTTTAAGAAAGGGGCTGGTTCACAAGCACACAGACAACCTTGCATGTAATCCTTAAACCTAAATAAACAATGGTTTAAGTTGTCCTGATATGATACTAAGGAAATATATGAGAGGGCTTCTTCACCTTGATGAGAGAAAATACTCAATTTGGTTGTATATGCTGAAATGTATTTCAAATTATATTCTACCCCGACATGATGTTGTTTCCGACAGTATTGTTTCAAGTTATTTATATCAGATTCAACTTAAAATCTTGGTAAAACTAGATTCCAGAGTTCCATAGGCAGAATTCTGAGTTAGAGTATTTTTAGAAGCACCTTAGATGATTTTTATGTATGCTAAAATTTGAGAATGATTTATTTAATGTATTTTATGGAACAGGTACCTAGCTAGGTATTAAATTCTGGAAGAACAGTTGCTATGCAAGAGGAGCATGATCCTTAGCTTTAGGAAGGTTACAGTTTAATAGAGAACACAGTTTATCAGAATGCTTTTCGAATATGGGTGTGCATATGAATTACCAAAAGATATTGTTAAAAGGTTTGTGGTACAGTCTGAACTTCTGCTTCTATAATACATCCCCAAGCAATGCTGACACTACTGGATGCAATCCATCTAAATATCTCTACCCCATTCATTGCCTGGTAATTGCTATCCTTCAAACTAGTTGCTATCAAGAAATCATTTATAATCCTAAAGTTTGGATACCCATCTAAGAAAATATCACTCTTTTTTGGGGTCATATTTGTCATCTAAAGCAATTACAGTGATAAAGGCCATTGTTTAGAATATAGTGGCAGCAAATAGGATAGGCTAAATTATGATATAGAAATTTTTATTCCATATAAAAATTAATTTTTTGACTAAAGGTAAATATCTACTTGGGGTGGAGAGTCAGGAAGTCAAGAATGGAGATCATGGATATTAAATATCCAAATGGGATAAACATCAGTGGCAAAAGGGACACTTTCTTTCTGAGCTTGGAGCTTTAGGAAGCTTATTGCTGGAAGGTAGTAAAAAAATAATTGATCCCCAGATTCACTGTCTTCAACTTTTGTGCCCAGGCCGATTTAAACAGGTGCAAACACTGGCTGTCACTGCTGATGCCTTCTTCTGTCTCTACTCCTATGTGTCCAAAACACCTGTTCAAAAGTTCTCACCATCTCACATGTTCTGGAATTGCAACCCAACCGAGGTACCATCCATCAGAATTCTGGCCCCAGAACCTGAACCTCACTCACCCAGAGACCGCCTCCGGAAGGCCATCTCCAAGATGTGCCTGTATACGTGCCCCCGAGAGCGGTTATCACCACCCCACGATACCTCCAAAAGGAACAGTTTGGACCAAGTGGTGTGGGAAGTGATGGACAGAGTGAGAGGAGAGAAGCTGGTAAATCAGAAAGACCCTGGATTTGGGCCCAGTGCACAGGACATTCCTATGGCTCCCATCATGGGTACAAATATTTCCTCTTCTTACCCATGTGTCCTCTGTGCGAAAGTGGAAACGCAGCAGGAGACATCCACAGAGGGAGCACCATCACAGACTCTGGATTGTAATCCTGAGGTCCCCTGTTGCATGCATTTTCTGCCCAGGGCAGATGGACAGTGGAGCAGAGACTCTGCACAGGCAAAGAGAGAACTGTGGGGTTTACAAGTCACCAATAAGGAAGACCAGTTCATCAAGGATGAAACATTCTGGCAAAGAAGGAGCAGAGCAAGAAAATGCCTGTTTCAGAAGACTCCCATGGACAGGAAGATTGAATCACTGGACCTGTCTGCCATCAAGCAGAAATGGAAGCAAAGCCCAGAGAGACAAGAACTGCCCCAACCTCTGACCCAGCAGCTGCAGGACACTTGTGACTTGGAGGAGGTGAGTGTGTTGGAGATGAAGGAGACATTGGCAGAGAAAGACTCTGGATTCTTGTCACTGGGTAAAACGAATCCAGGATCCCTGTCTTTGCTCCATACCAATTCTCAAGCTACATTCAGAATCCTTGTTAGCAGGTTAGTATAGAAAGATAAAGTAAGGGCCTCCCCTGGTGGCGCAGCGGTTGAGCGCTGGGCTGCAAACCTGCCCACCACCTCTGCAGCACCGGTTTGATCCCCGTCCGCCAGCGAGGGTCCCACATGGCTCAACAGACGTCTCCTGCCGCCCGCTGCTCCCCTCAGCAGTTTATTTCATCAGTCTGCCTGTTCTGTTCCTGACTCTGGTGAATTCTCTCACCCTCCCGTGCTTCTGACTGTACCCAGTGCTTGTATAAATGAATAATCTTAAAAAAAAAGAAAAGAAAAGAAAGATAAAGTGAAATAGGTCATTTCTTAACAGCATTGAGGTTTCCAGAACTCCCTTTCAAATTCTTCATTTCATCTGATCTGGTCTACGCTGAATTTTCTCTTCAGGTACACCTGTTCCATCATTTGCGCCATCAGTCAATAATATAAATTGAAGCTGGTTATACACTAAGCTAAATGATGAAACTTTCTTCTCTACCTTGTCAAATAGGTAATCAAAACCACCCATGATTACACGTCTAGAGTTGTCATATTCTTAGGATGTCTGTGCTAGAAGAGCAGTGTGGGCAGAGCCACTCCAAAGTCCACGGGCCAACCTGCCATGCTCACATCTGTGCCGCACCATAAGGGACTTGGCACACAATGTGTGTGCACCACAGTCTGCCTATCCAGATGTCACATACCCACATGAATAATGCTACCATTGACTATTGTCTTTAACCACTTTTCTTTAACTCTTTCGTAAATACTTTATATATCTCTGTGCTCCACCATTCGATACATATATATTTAAAAGTGTATATGTTTTTCTTGTATTAGACCCTTAATCATAATATAATGCCCATTTCTATTTCTTATTACCTTCTTAACTGGAAATCTATTTTATAAATAGATACAAATATGTTCATCCCTGACATATTTGAGCATTTGCTTGAAAATTGTTTTCCAGCCTTTAACTTTAAGCAACAGCGAGGAGGAGGCAAACCACTGGCCCAGGAGACTCAGACACCCCTACCTGTACCAGAGTTTCTCTGACCAAGATTCAAGAAGTAAGTGGGTCCCTCTCTCACAGGCAGTGGTTCTCAAGCCTGACTGCACATTACAAACACCTGGGGAGGGATATTTTTTTAATTTTTTTAAAAGATTTATTTATTTTTATACAAGAGCTGGGGTACAGGCCAGAGGCGCAGGAGGGTGAGAGGATTCACCAAAGACAGAGTAAGGAGCAGAACAGGCAGACGACCGAAATACACTGCTGAGGGGAGCAGCGGGCGAGACAGGAGAGGTCTGCTGCACCACGTGGGAATCTCCCTGGCCAGCCGGGAATCGAACCTGCGCTGCAGAGGCTGCAGACAGCTTCACAGCACTGCGCTCAACCCACTGCACCACCGGGGAGGCCCCGGGAGGGATTTTTAAATACCCACAATGAAGAGTCCTACATCCTGCCATTCTGATTGAAATGGCATGGCATGGAAACCAGTGACTGAATTTTTGTTTTTATGCTCAGAGGAGGCGATTCTTTTATAGCTGGGTTAAAAACCTCTTTAGGTCAGTGGTTCCAAGCCTTTAGCATCAGAATCATCTGCAGGACTCGTTAAAATATAAATAGCTTAGGTCTTTTAAGTCCACATTGACCCCAACTCGCAATGTTCTGATTGAATAGTCTAGACAGGGTCTGAGAATTTGCATTTCTAACAAGTTCCCAGGTGCTCTTGGTACTGCTGGTCTGGTGACTACAGACTGAGAACTGCTGTTCCGGGGAAAATTCTATATAAATTTACTATTCAAAATGTAGTCAACATGCAGACCAGCAATATTTGCCTCACTTGGGATTTTTTAGAAATGTGGAATCCCAGCCTCCAACCTTGGACCTAATGAATCACAATTTTGTAAGATTTATTCCTACGTTGAAGTTTGAGGAGCTTTGTTGTAGATGTTTTATAACAGTAATAGGTAAAGTCATGAGAAATAATAGTTCAGCTAGAGAAAGTATGCAGAGTCAGAAATTGAAGTGAAAGAGGAACCCTCCGAAGCATTCATACTTGAAGACTGATCAAACAAAAGGTAATTCGTAAAGGAGAAGTCTTGTTGACTGGGGAAAAAAGAAAGTTTCAAGTAGAAGCCGAGTGAAGGTTGCCTTAAGGAAGGACAGCAAAGAAGTCGTAGTCCTTGGGAACATAAGGCATAACATACCCAGAAGGAAGGAAATGTCAAAGATAATATTAGATTTGCCACTAGATGGTGATTAAGAACATTGATAAGGGTGTTTTATTTGTGTGACGGAACTTTAAAATATTAATGTGGAAAGCAAACAGGCAAGTAAGCAAATAAAGTAGGTAATGTCATCAAGGTATCTAAGGAGTGCTTTGTTTTTTCTAGGATGGGGAAGGGTTAAGTGTGCATATTTATTGAGAAGAAAGAATCAACACTGGGGAGAGGAAGGAAGGGAGAATGATAGTGTGAGGTCACTGGAGAACTGGAATACATTGAGATCCAGCACACTTTTGGAGGGTTTAGCCATGAGCTAGAGGCACAGATTTTTGAGATTAGAGGAAAAGTAAAAGGGCAGGTGCGTGTATAGTTTCACTGGTCATATGGAGAGGGTGTCCAGATTCAGGACACTTGATACGACATGTCGTGGGATTTTTACTTGGGGTAGGTAATTTGGAAGGGAAAATAAAGCTGTAATTGATAATAGAGCAGCAGTCACTCATTATTATAATATTACATTGTTATTTTAAGGTTTGCACCCAGTTTTGATTTTGGCTATACTGAAATAAATTATGTACTAATACATCTCTTTTTTTTACCTCACTTCATCTCTTTATCAAAAGACTTTGATGTTGGTGCCTGTGAGCTTGTGTTCAATAAAAGAACAATATTCCCTAGCTGTGACAGCCAGTTCAGAGGCCAACAACCAGAAATTCTAGCAATATAAGGGCATTTAGATCTTTTTCATCAGCCAAAGTATTATATAAAACAGTGATATGGGTGTACATATGAATTACCAAAAGATATTGTTAAAAGGTTTGTGGTACAGTCTGAACTTCTGCTTCTATAATACATCCCCAAGCAATGCTGACACTACTGGATGCAATCCATCTAAATATCTCTACCCCATTCATATTGGATCCTCACCGAACTATGTGAGGCAGGGAATTTGAGGACAGTAATAAAGATTTGTGGGGAAGGGAAAAGAGAAATAGTCATTACTAGAAACACATCGTAACAGTTGAATAATGTCAGGACTCAGTTCAATGTGCAGAACATGAATTAGCAGTGGTTTAATAATTTTCATCAGTGGTGCTCATCAATCCATGTAAAGTATAAGAATAAAAGTATAAGTATATTTTTAAAAATATATCATTTAATCAGTCAAAGAAAATAAGAGGTGAACGCTTCCAGGAATGAACACTGCAGAAGCTCTGTCACATCACCCTGATCCTGCTGCTGGTGCTCCCGCTAATACCTTTAAATATTACTTAGAGTAGCTAGAAACATTTCAACGGGTGAGTCATGAAAGTTTCTACCAAACCCAGCATCCAATGTTGCCTCAAAAAATAAAACATGTGATTCTCATTACAGGCTTTCTCTCCCACCGCCACAGCGCAGATTCTGACAGCGGCAGCTTTAGAGAAGAGCGTAATTCCCACTCCCGTTTGCAGGAATTTGCACCGAGCCTTACATCCAGCTCTTGACCCCTGGCTGTACAAACCCCGGGTCCTAGAGGGAGCAATGATTTGGTGCCCTAGAAAGAGGACCAGACTGGGAGGCTCGAATCTCCGTCCTGCAGCTGTTTTAAACTCCATGGACAGAGAAATCCTTACTTAGGCTCAGCACTTCAATGTGCTCTGCCCACATCTCTACTCATCCCTATGTGAGTCCGATTCTATTACAAAAAGTCTCTCAAAACACTAGAGACCTGTCTTTCTTCTTGAGACCCTCTTAAAACCAGGGTTGGGGGTGGAGGGAGGAGATTACATGTTTTCCTCTGTCCCAAATCCTGTATTTTCATAATAAAAAATGACTGGGATTCAGGAACCCCCCTCATGACCTGTAAAAACTTCACAGATTTTTCTGCTGGCAGAAAACATTACAAATAAAAATATTTTTTAAAGCCTGGGTGTGTTTTTAGATGAATCAGCAACTGTGTTTGTGTTGGGTAGAAAATGTTTTGGCAACAAATGGGACTTGATCATCTTTCCAAGGGAGTAGTGGTAGAGTAAGTCTAAGATACGTTTTGTTTTGTTTTTTTGTTTTGTTTTGTTTTTTAAGATTTATTTATTTATTTATACAAGCACTGGGTACAGTCAGAAGCGCAGGAGGGTGAGAGAATTCACCAGAGCCAGAGCGGGGAGCAGAGCAGGCAGAAGGACCGAAGGACACTGCTGAGGGGAGCAGCGGGCGGCAGGAGAGGTCTGCGCGCCATGTGGGACCCTCCTCCGGTGGCCGGGGATTGAACCGGCACTGCAGAGGCTGCGGCCAGCTTCACAACCCAGCGCTCAACCGCCGCGCCACTGACACGACCATTAATATCTGATTTCAACATTAAAAGTGAGCGATTTAAAAAAAAAAAACCCCAAGGAGAGAGTCAAATCTGTGTTGAATGGTCGGTCCAGATGGTGAGGGAAGAGATTTGGAGTAGAGGCCAGGAGGAGACAGCATTCCAGAGCACCACAAACCCACATCCACAACGAATTCATACCTCGTTTCTCCCTGAGAACAAGTGTTATCCTTATTCTCTGTAAGAATCTTTACTTACGGCCGGAGACCAGGGCGGTGGAGACAGCCACCAGCAGCAGGAGGGCCAAGAGCTTCATGATGGCCAGTTGAAGAGCAGGGAGCACAGACAGGACAGCTCAGAGCCCAGCAGACGTGAGGTCTCTAACTTCCAGATTCAAGATCCCCGTACTATATAGGCAGAGGGCACCAATCAGGAGCTGTCAGGTCCGAATCCGGGTTAGTTCATGCCAAGAAATGTTTGTACTCAGACAAATCACTTTGGAATCAACACTATAGCCAGAGGCTTTTTGGAAAGATCCTAGGTGTAACCCTTTCATTCTGACCTGGGTTCAACTCCTACTAACTATTTTTCCAGCAACAGCCCTTCTTCCAGGCTTCCTCTCAGCTTATAAGATACAGTGACGCCGTGATTACCAGCTGCTGACAAGCTAGACAAAGCCCGAACCCACTTCCTGATTACACCATTTGCAGCGCTCTTTCATGAGCCATTACACGAGCATGGTTGGCTTAGCCCTGGGTCTCCTCAGTGCAGAATCAAAGCCTAGGGAAGCGTGGTCTAAGAACCATGTTCTATAATTCAGGCTGTGATCTTTAAGCTGCGGCCTCCCACTGTAAAGGTAGATAACATTATCTGACACAGATTTTGCCCAGCACTGACATGATCTGTCTGGATACAAGCTACACCCCTTTGGCAGTACCCGTTTGCTACTATGGGAGCCTACGAAGACTGCATGAAACCCGAGCGTGAGAGGTCCACAGTGGACACGACAAAGAAACCACGTCTGGTCGTGTATAATGTCCATCCCCGTTATGAACTCAGCTCCCGAAGTATCCAGTAAAAACGCTGCCAGCATAAAACAATAAGTGTAAGAGTTGTGCTTATTACTCATTGCAGTGGAGGATGGGCATAGAGCATCGGGAGTGGGTGTCCAGATTCAGGACACTTGATACGACATGTCGTGGGATTTTTACTTGGGGTAGGTAATTTGGAAGGGAAAATAAAGCTGTAATTGATAATAGAGCAGCAGTCACTCATTATTATAATATTACATTGTTATTTTAAGGTTTGCACCCAGTTTTGATTTTGGCTATACTGAAATAAATTATGTACTAATACATCTCTTTTTTTTACCTCACTTCATCTCTTTATCAAAAGACTTTGATGTTGGTGCCTGTGAGCTTGTGTTCAATAAAAGAACAATATTCCCTAGCTGTGACAGCCAGTTCAGAGGCCAACAACCAGAAATTCTAGCAATATAAGGGCATTTAGATCTTTTTCATCAGCCAAAGTATTATATAAAACAGTGATATAGGTCAGTTAAGATTAACAAAAACATGGTATCACCCCACCCAAACAAACAAAAAATTTCCATTTTTGATGATGTTGCTTATTTTTATTGAGTCTTTAACAACACATAAACTGATTGGAGACAAGGGAGATGTGTAAGACATGGTACTAGTTGAATTAAATCAAATGAAGGGACATTTTGGTCCAAGTGGGCCAATCCAATGCAGAAGGTCAAGGCTGATCTATTTCAGTTATTGTGGGACTATAGAAGGAGGTAGTTTTCTGATCACATCTGTAGGAGGAAAGAAGATGTAAGGAAAACAAAGATGGCGGCCGCGCCGGGAGCAATACAGCAAATGTAAACTGAGTTCTATTCTATGCAAGACCCGTGGGCCTGGGGACTCCCAATCTATAACTGAAAACATATCAGTCAGTTCTCCAGGGGTCACCAAGTCCTCTTGCCCACTGACTCCCCAAATCCTATTGACCCTCTCAGGTGCAGCTGAAACCAGCAGGTATTCTGTGCTTTATCTTTAATATTTCAGTATTCTTTATTGTTATTTATTGGCACACCAGCGTTGTGTAAAAATAAAGATAAGGGATTAAGTACAAATCAAATTATAGCCTAAGTTGTTGGAATCGGAACCATGATGTCAACTTTTTTTTAAAGATTTCTTTCTTTATGCACACAAGAGCTGGGGTGCAGGCCAGAGGTGCAGGGGTGAGAGGATTCTCCAGAGACAGAGTGGGGAACAGAACAGGCAGATTATTTGAAATCACTGCTGAGGGGAGCAGTGGCCAGGCTGGAGAGGTCTGCTGCTGCTGTGCCATGTGGTCAGCTCCCTGGTGCGCCAGATCAAAGTCCTGCTGCAGTGGCTGCTGGTAGCTTGATAGCTCTGTGTCTTTAACCCCAGCACCACCAGGGAGGCCCCATGTGTCAACTTGCTCTTCCTGAATGTTGTGTTGCTCAGTGTGTTGCTGGTGGGAGCTAAGGCAGTTGGAAAAATGGCCATGACGGCGGCTACAGAGACTGGCTAACACCTGAGCAGCAGAGGCCACAGTGAAAAGGACAAGGAGCCCCACCTGGTCATGGGTAGGGCCCATCCCCATTATGAGTTCAATACCCCAAAACAGTCTCCCCTCCCCCCCCAAAAAAAAGGAAAGGAAAGAAGTTGCAGGACACAAAGCCACAAAGGCGAGGTTGAGCTTCTACCCACTGCAGTGGGAAGGGAGAAGCGGGCCCAGGAACGGCAGGGAGGGTCCCGGGGTGAGGGGATTATTGGGGATTTGCTCTTGTTTAGGGTAATGTAGATATTTAGAAGTGAGAGTGAAGCTGCAACTGGTGATGAAGAAGCAACCGCTCCTCACATAAGAGAAAGGCCTATTGAAAAGATGTTCAATGGTTTTCACATCAACTCCTCCTGTGCGAGCTACACTGAAAGGAATTCTGCAGGGATTTTGCTCACATTCCTTCCACATAGTCACTGAGTCACTCTGTTCCGTTTCAGGAGCCTGAGACCAACAGGAGAACACTATTTCCCAGCTGTGAGTGCAGCTCAGACACCAACAGCTCCAGACTCACTTGGTGTTCAGTGGAACTTGGTGTTTGCCCATCAGCCAGGTGTGGCCTATCACAATACCTTGGGTCAGCTCCGAGGAGCTGCCCTTGGATTAACTAATCCTTGCATCGCCCCACCCAACCACACACAAAAGCACCCATTTGCTGTTGCTTATCTTTATTGCTTAGTTGATTTCAGAGAGAACGGTGAGGAGCAAGGGGGAGAGGCAGGCATGGTAGTAGCTGAATTAAATCAAATGAAGAGACATTGGGCCCAGGGCAGCCGATCACATGCAGCAGGGCCAGGCTGATGCCATCTCATGGACCATATCAACGGCCATGGCTCAAAATGTTCTTCAGAACTGCAAGAAGAAGGAAGTTAATGAGATGCTGTCCAAAGCCTTCTGACACAGGAGAAAGCATGTGACTTTACTCGTAGGGGTAGGAAGAATGATAAAGAATGGCGCTGGAGTCAATGGAGTCAAGGGAACAAGAGGTTTCAAATCGGGAAGATAGACAGCTAGCAACTGTGCAAAGTAAATTTCATCAGCAACTGGACGAAGCCCGGGAGGCTGGAAGTTGCAAAGCAACAAGGAGGCCCGGGGGAGTGTTAGTTTCCCGTGTAACACGGTACCCACAGGCCAGCACCTCCCCGCCTTTTCTCCCCAGCAGCGGGACCCCAGAGCCGTCTCCTCAGGGCCGCGATGCCGCAGCAACTCCCTGTGTCTCCTCGTGGCAGTGGAGAAACCAGAGGCCCCGCCTGGCGTTGGGCACCAAGACCCACAGGCGCCTTCCGGGCAGACCCTTGGCACACAAGCCACAGCTGTCCAAGAAATGACCTGCGCTCCGACCACCCCCTCCTGACCCCCGACATGCCCCCTGCCCTGACCCCGGGCACAGCCTGGAACCGCCCCTGCCTGGGGACCAGGACGCGCTGCCCACTCAGGACACGCGCTGCCCCACTGCATTCTGGCCGGGGACTCTCAGCCTCCCTGCCGGAGACGGGTTTTCACCTTCAATGTCAGTAATTTGAAAGCAAAATAGGCAAAGTCAGTAAACAAAATCCACAGATTCCTGCTCGCTTGATTCTATCTGTTGACTTTGTAACAGCACAAGAAACTTTTTTAAAATATGGGGGGAAAAAAAGCCCATGCTTTTTTAGTGGCTTCTCTTCACTATCCCAAAAAAAACACTCCTGGAAGAACTGGAAACCCAGGAAAAGTAGGAGCCCCATATAGACGCCAGTTACCTCCTAGTAGGCCAGAGTTCGTGGTGGTTGTAGAAGCAGAAGTTGTTTGAGTGGTAGCAGCGGCAGCTGAAGTAGCCGTAGTAGCTGGAGTAGTACCAGGGGCTGAAATTAGGAAGAAATGATGTGGGTGAGACACTGGAGGAAAGTCTGTCCCACTTCAGCCAGAGACAACACTCCTCACGCTCATTTCTCTGAAATGCCGGATTCTGCCAGGGCTTTAGCTGGACGACACCTGCCTCTTGCCTCACTCCTACACATCCCAGCTTCG